AAATGGAGACTTTATGGTTCTGGCTTGAGTCACTCGCTGATTAATCGGTTTGCAGGTGATACAGATTTGAGGTGCTTTCAATTTGAGAACATGAAATGGGTCATTGTCTCTACATTACGGTAGACGTAGAACTTTTGCAAGGCAAAAATATCATTACTGTAAACTCTTTACGCACTTTCCGTCTTTTATTTGGGTTTTTCTTCCTTGCTGCTATTTTTCTTCGCTAGACGAAAATTTCTCCTAATCGGTTTTGGTAATTGTGGGCCTCTGTTCATTGGAATTCGTCCACTCAGTTATTATTAACAAGTACCCTAAGTTCGAAGCACTGTCCCACTGTCTAGATTCATCTGATTCACGATTTACGTGACAACGAAGGGTGAAAAATTAGATAACATCGTTCATCTTTACTGTTCAGAACAGGTTTTTACATTGTACGTGGAGCTGAGAGAGATGTTACGGGATTTTCACGACCACCATAGCATCGTTTTTTCGCTTCGTCAAGATCATTCTTTGTATTCCATCGGAGGTCCACAAAATTTGTTCGTGAATTCTTTCACAAACCTTTCAGCTCTCTATGATTCTCGATTTACACGGATCAGCACCGATTCCTTCTACACTGGCATGCGACTGTTTGCTCACTAGAGTGTGGGGTATGATTTAGCTAGACATTTTTTCTGAGCTATCAACAATATAACGACTAATCAGTTAAACACCTATTTGTTGTCGTTCTGGAGGAACGTTTTGTGCGCGAGCGTCTCTCATTGCTTCTCGTTAGACACAACATTAAATGCTTCCATTCCATTGAATAGGAAACATTGAACAATTTGATGACTCTACGGAATGGTTTCCTTTAACGTTCTGAATTTCTTTCCTGCGTTATCAATTTCACAGTACGAGTAGATGATATCTCGATTTATAGTCGTGTCTTATTTCATGTCCTTCAATAATTGTCGTTGACTGTCCAATCGGAAGAAGTGTGATACGTCTGAAACTGACACCACGGGTTTCATGTTCTTTTCTCGTTCGTACTCTGTCGCCATTCTAGTTTACCTATCGAGTTTCACATGAAAAAAGACTCCTATGTTTCATCGGGTCTGAACGACCCTCATCATATTTTTCGAAACACACTTTTTGTTCGTTAAGAGTCTGCGTATTAATCCTTTAATGTTTAGTTCGTGCGTAAGATGTCGACGCGCGAACTAATAACTATCCAGTACTGCAAGCTATGAAAAAGTACATTGCATGGAAAAAAGACGAGATGGTACGTTTCTTTCTTTTCCATCATTACAATTCAGGCTAATAACCGAGATATGCAAGTCTGCAGTAGGATTGCCAGCTAATGTGAATTTTTTTTTTTGATTGTCTGAGTGGATGCAAATGTTAGGTCGTTTTCCTTTTTTTGCTGAAGATCTGACATTATGCAGCAGCAAGTGAATTGAATATTAAAAGTGCATGCAGCGAACGAATGAATAAACATCGATTCCTGTCCTATTATACGGTACATGGAGATGATACACAAGAGTGCAATTCGTTTAACAGATAATATGCTCGACGTGATTCACATAACGTTAACCGTTATAATGGGACGAATGTCTTGAATGTGATTCAAGCAGTCGACGATGTGAATTGTTGCGATTCTTCCTGCGTTGTTGTTGTTGTTAGTTTGGAGAAACTGTGTTGTAATAATGATATGAGATGACAATGACAGTCAGTCCGTGTTGCGGTGTAATTCTCCTTCCTTCGACTCTGGCGATTTTTATCGTCATCGTGCCATACCCGAATCGGTTGGGCTGCACTTCTGTACCGACCGCACTCCCCATTCATCGTGGATGTCATGGAGGCCGGAGGTTTGCTACTTTTCCTAGTAATCTCCATCGACTAACGACAAATGTCGAATTAACTCGAAATCATTAATCATCATTACCAAAAACTTCTCCTAATTATCCCGTAAGTGTGAAATTCACTAGTCTTTAAAAAAATTGCAGTCAGTGTCGTTATAAATTGTTCAGCTTACACGACGTGGACTTGAAATTTTGTCTGGCTAACGTTTCGACGCCTTCGTCCTCTTCAGAGCCAGATAGATCCGCGTCGACTGTCCACAGTCGTTCGTTCTCGCGATGTTGGTCCTCGTTGTCTCTGTGGACGAACCAACTCGGATCTATACGCACTGGCGAAGACGAAGATGTCAAAGCGTTGACCGAGCAAAAAATTCATAACAACCCCGTGTAAGATGAACATTCTGATAAGATAGTGATTATTCACGCTGAGTTTGAATGATGCTTGATGCTTTTGGTAAAAAAATGTCTTCCACCACCTGCACATGTTACTGGATGCCTTAAGCATCTCTCGACTTGGATATGATTAATTGTTCTGTTTTTAAAAAAGAGAAGAAAAAACGATGCATCTCTTTGTACGTTCCAACCAGCTGAAACGCATCATGAAATTCAATTTTTGTCAGTACTTTTCTCAGTGTGTAGACGGTTTCATAGTCGACTTCGCACGTTTTCATTCATTCTTGAATGTGGTTATACTGCTTATCTTTATGACAATCATTTAATCCTAAACTTCTATGTCAGTGTTATTTTTAAGGTAACATCAGCTGTAGTCGATGTGATAATTGTTTCTCCTTGTGATTCCATGCAAAGTGTCAACCACCACTGTACCGTAATGGTTTCTTCTCTTCACTCGAAACTACGTGTAGCGAAATTATTCACAACGTGACATGCAGCTCTGTTGAACTGCACTGTTTTGGGTTCGTTTTCTAATTGATCTTTGACACTGCAGTACGATGCCGTCTATCGAGAAGACTTCGTTGATGACACGACAGAGGTTGCTGATGGAATCGAAGTGCGTCGCTTCGTGCTGATTCTCCTTTCCCTTCAGAAGCGTTCATCCTCATACCACGTCATTCTCTCCGCTCTTTCTTCGGTATTTTCATTATCTAGCTGTTCATTTTGCGCCATTGACTTGATGTACTACATTGCATTTGCTGTCCGTTTCCTTTCCAAACAGTAGCGCTGTTCACTTCTGGTGTGCACCAAATTTAACTTGTAGTAAAGTGACATTGGTGTATTGTATCAGCCTGAGTAAACCAAATCTCATCAATCGTTTGCACTTCATCACTTCTTATCTTTTGCAACGTCGCAAGGTCCGTTTTCTTCTGCAAGCAACTGTAAATTTTCATAGGAAAAAACAAGTCAATGTCATAATATGCTTGCCTCTAAGGAAACAGCATTCTAGGAAAACAGGTTTCAAGAACTCGTAATCGAAAACATTCCCTAGCTATATGACTGTTATTGATTGACTTCGCCGCTGTCCCGTACCACTCTCGATGTTAGAATTCTATTTACCTAGCCGCCTCCTTGGCTACCTCATCTCATACTCATCACTCACCACATCGAACTACGACGAGTCCATTCATCGTGAAACCTGACTATTTCTACTGTTTCTGAGTTCTTTCTCAAGTGATCAATTGCTTATGCTTGAAATTTCATCATACGAGAAAATTACTTCATTTTGTATGCATCAGTAATCGTGATTATTTCATTTGCCATGCATGCAACACATGAGTGGACGGTGTTGATGCGCTTCGAAATCTCACTCGATTTATGCATATCGTTGGGCTGCTCTTCATCCAGACGATCTCTGGAGACGATCTTGTCCAAACTGAGCAGCAAGTGCTTGGAGGGGTTGTTCGGAGCCGAGGACGGAGTGCGTCTTCCGACGACGTTCGCACGAGGTACAAGCCGAGGTCGAGCTTACACGGCTGGCAGCTCGAGGTGCGTAGATGCCGACTGCCGCGTGCTAGCTCGTCTTGCAATCAATAGCCCCTTCTGCTACGAGCGCCAGCTCCTGCCTCTTTATGGACGCATTTCTTCTCCACATTACTAGTACTAATCATGCGTTGAGAATCTAACAACACCTATACACATCATGCCACCTCATACTATGTACAACATTAATATTCACTTTTAAAATTGTTGATAATCTCCTAGTCTGAAGTGTTGTGGCTCTTCGCGACCTCTCTCGAATTTTTCTTTCTCTATCGCCATACTTCTCTCCTACGTAGGAATCTTGCTAGGAACACAGTGATTTGCATTTATGCTTTGTTCTCTACAATTAATCGATGACTGTCTGCAAATCGTCTCTTCACGTATTCGTTGTTGTCTAATATCACATGTGTTAATCAATACATCAGTTTCTGTAGTACATCATTCACATTTCCGGATGAAGTATGACTGTGTCTGAAGAGTGAGTGTATGTTTACGTGTGCTTTCCCACTAAAGACCAATCTATTCAGCTTGTTAATAACTTCTCAATATCACGTGTCTAGGTTTAAATTAACGTGAAATTGCGTTGGAATTAATCTCTTACTCGTTTTTGTCGGCATCTACCTAACCTACTGTCAACGTGGTCGGTTATTTATTGAAAGCCGTTGCAAAGTTTTGCTTATTTAATTCGACATTCACCCTAATTTTTTTTAGGATAGTCCGGCACTGGCGTGTCCGGCCCCCCTTGTAGCGCTTGCGCCTCCTGGCGCATTCGACTGGCCAGCACTGGCCTCACCACCTTCAACTACACTCCCGACAGGGTATAGTTTTTTCTAGGAAAACATTCACATAGTGTTTATTGCAAGGTATTTTGCGGATTTTTTTTCAGCGCTATATTACTGGAGAATAACTCGCTTGATTCAGTGTTTTCATTTCGATCGAGTAACAGTGCTAGCGTTCTACTAATAAGTAGGAAGGGGTTTCACGAAATCCTCATAATTCCATGCTTGATGAATGAGGTCACAAGCATTTCACACTAGCAAGTGTTTAGAGTGTGATGACTTCCCGATTGTTCTCAAGTCAAACAATTTAAATGAGAATTTCAGGAATACGGGGCTCGCCTTCGTTGGTCCATCCGCGTTTTCAGTGGTGCCGCCAGCACCAGCGGTCGTGCCAACCGTTGGACCTCGCCCAACCAACACCCCTGTTCTACCATTATATCCAAGCCTCATGTGTTTACCAGCATTGCTTGACAAACTCAGCGAATCACAGGCCATACTTCGCTCACCCATGAGCACAACGCCTTTTAAGCCAATACCAAACAATGAAAAGTAATATTCTTGTCTCGTTTTTAGTGGTTATTTCTAAATGTTCAGTGTATCTCCTTCTAGAGTGGATTTAGCGAGGTTTCGCGTAAAGGATCCAGTGGAGTGGCTAGTCGACGATGTCGTGTCGTGGATGTTGGATGTCGCAAAGCGACACGGAATTCCATTTGAAGAAATGAATATGCATAGGGTTTGTCTATTCACACTGCTTAATGGCTGGAATTGCAAAAAAGCTGCGTTCATCAAAATGTTCCTAGACGAACAAAGTTTTAAACACTGCATCCATTTCCTTCCGCCATTTAGTCTTCTTGATGGCGAAACAAAACCAAAAATTCTTATTCTGCTTGGGGCTAGTCGTATTTAATCATTCACAGAAAGGGAAGACAGCAGCAGTCTTTTTAGGAGAAAAGCATTTGGATGTCACACATTATGGGTGTTGCTTGTTGGTATTGATCAAAACCACAAAGAAACCCGAAAAAAGTTTGATATCTTTACAGTTTGCAAATCTCACTGGTCAGCAAATGATCACCATGACTGAACAGAATTTCATAGAACGAGATCCTATTTGGGGGCCGCTGATATACAACGAACTCCGAAAGAACCTCTCTGGCAAGTTACTTCTTCGTAGTGTACTTGAAAACGTCCTAATCAATTGCTTTAGAAGATACTTCCGTGATCGACGAAATCATGAAGAAGTACAATACCGATGAGGAAACGGTAGCAGGAACAAGTATCGGTCCATCGACGTCGTTTGATATTCCAAAAACTCATCTTGGTGCAGCAGCGCCATCTCCTATAGTGCCACAATTCCAGTCTCTAACCCAAACTTTAAATCAGACCCTAAATCAGACACTGAACCATAGTATTCAACTTAATTCAAATCTCTCACAAAACTTGCAGCAGACTCTCAATCATTCACTAGCAACGAGTTTGGCTGCCGGATTATCATCAGGTATATTTTGTTCACTTTTCTATAACACTCGGCGCTTGCTTGACTCAAAATTGACTGTTATTGCTATTGCGCTTTAGGATTGAGTCCAGTGAACCTTGGACTTGTACATAATGGTCTGAATCCCAGTTCTCCATTGATTGGTAACCAGCTACAATCGAAGATTTCCCCACTTCCGAGTGATGTGACTTCGTATAGTTCTGGCAGTGCTGCTCCCTCTTCAGAGTTTGAAAGTTTGTCATCTGCCTTTTTACCTTCTGCTTTTTATATTGGTTCTAGCACAAGCTGGGTGTAATTTTATGTTTGATTTTGTATTTAAGCAGCAGTAACTAATTAGTAATACACTAAATAACTGTAGTCGTGAAATGAATTGAGTTATTAGGCTGAAATTGATCGGTACTAAGTCTGCTTGGTGGGAATATTCCTTCCAGGTAAAATTTTAAATTTATGTGTTGATTCCATTAGCGGTCATACTCATAGCTCAGTAGTACTTCTCCGATCCATTTGTGACCAGTGTTCTTTGGGCGTTTTGGCAGCCAACTTAGTGTTTAGCTAAGCTGTTATGCAGAGTTTTGTAATTTGCTTTGAGAAAATGATTGTTAAGAAATACTACTGCTTTTGTGACTTTTTCTCAGTGTTTGTTAGTTGTAAATTGTTGCAAGATGAAATATGCAGTTTGTAATTGCTTATTTAAGGATCTGAGGAGCGTAGAAGCATTGTCGATTCAAAAACTCGAAAAAATCGGGAGGGAAAAGCAAGGAAACGCTCTCAGCACACCAAGGGCAACAAATTGTGGGAGTTCATTCGAGATGCGTTGAAGGATCCAATCACATGTCCGTCAATTGTCAGGTACAGCTACGATCTCGATCCCCTTTTGCCTCTTTGGTTCAGTAGTCATAGAGTGGCTTTAGGTGGGAGGACCCTATCGAGGGAGTGTTTCGAATAGTGGAGTCTGAGAAATTAGCTCGGCTATGGGGCGAAAGGAAAAACAACACGAAGATGACTTACGAGAAGCTAAGTAGAGCGATGAGGTAGATGTTCTGTAATACTGAATTCTTTCTTCTATAGCGGAAATATTTGTTATCCATTTTATACCGAGGAAGTTTTCGTTTTTTATTTTTGCTTTTCATGACGACAAATCCACATTTTCTTTACGGCGTTTCAGTCTGATCCAGCTTGGTAGATTCTATCTGTTCATTTGTCATTTAGGAGTAGTTAAGTTGTCACCCAGTACCTCATTCCACTCCCGAACATTAGTGTTGGGTTCCATCGATTTCCATCTTAATGTCACTGAAGGGTTCCTCAAAACCAAATATGCCAACTATTTTTGAGACGCATCCTGCATGACCTATTCACCATTGTTGCAACTGTTTTATCCCAACTGCATGCGTGTTCCTATATTAACTAACTGTGGCTTTTTTAAAAATTTCCTTTTTGTTTCACTTCTCCTTCTAGACTCATTGTCTACATCTGTCGTTTTTTTGCTCGAAAACTTGCATTGACCCAAACACCTGTTTAGAACCTACTACGAGAAACAAATACTTGTACCAGTGCCAAAGACTGGTCTTTATCCAAAGAAACTCGTGTACAAGTTTGGACCGGGTGCTCACGGTTGGGACAACATTAAAGAAGAACTTCTCTAGGTAAGTCTTATATCGTTTAACTGCATGCAATTGATATTTACATTAATGTGACTAAGGAATCAGATGTCTATTCGGCGAGCGGTGTCAGACATTGTGGGTAGCTGGTTTATGTTAGGCGTGTATTGGCCAGGGTGGTCTCCTACAGCACCAACTACGCATTCCACACACTGCTCTCTCTCTCCCTCCCTTCCTCCCTCCCTCTCTTCCTCCCTCACCCTCTCACTCTCTTGCATGTGTTCCGCCCTTGGTTTTTGGTCGGTTAATAAGACGGAAATTTTCTGGTTCTTTTAGATGAAACGTTTTGATCGTATCTGGAAAGAATAGTTTCCGACAGCTTCTATCGTTTACGGTGATTAAGTTTATGTACTTACTAAAGCGAGGTTTGCTCATGGGATAAAGAGATCAGTGGTTAGTAAGAGCACTTTGTCAATAGTGTTTGGCCTTCTCCATTCATGTATTATCGGTTCTCCGCTATAACAAGTGGTAAATTTTCACTATACAATTATGTCAATGTTTGATTGCGCAGCTCACGTCATGGTTACCACTCTTGGTTTTCAAGAATCCTGTCAGCTAGAATGATAACAGATATGAGTACTGTACTGTGCCCAGACTAAAAAAATCTTTAAAAATTATATTATTTAGGTATTATTACATTACGAAAATTTTGCTGCCTGTAAGTGGTCGGCGCCTTGTATACAAGTTTGGACCCTCAGCACGTGCTTGGTCCTCTCCATCTAGCTTTCGCGCTGACATTATTTCCGACCAAATATCATGTAATAGTGATGAAGATGACGTCGCAGATGTCGAAAACATGATAGGATCCACTCCATTCAACGAAGGGCATCCCATCAAGTACCGTGAACTTCCGGTTTAGTCTTGTTGATCTCACACAACTGTTTGTCGATGTGTTTGTCTCATCACGGATATGCAGCAATGTCCGATTCGTAGATTCTACCTAATTATAGGTCCAATTTATAAAACTACTGCTATGGCTTATTTTTACACTTTTCTATCGTTGTGCAATGTTGTTAACAGGGTAACTTTTTGATGCACAATCGTTTGATATCGGCCCTTTCCAATTTCGGTTAATTCTATCAGAATTAGGCTATTTCTAGTACATCTTTAAGATTGAAATAGCTTTAATGATTTCCGTACTGTTAAGAGGATTTGAGTTATGGTACGCAAAGTGAATAATTGTTTTTCGCATGGCAATTTGCTCTATATTCAATTCCGTCATTCCACTAGGGTTAATTTCTTCTCGAAGATGTACATTTTGTTGACTATGTAGTTTGCTTCGTTAACCAGTTGTTCGGGTTTCTGTATAAATTTTTCTCCTTTTAGAGAAGACGAGTGTTGTGCTAAATGTTAAGTCGGCGTTTATCCCTGGGAGATACGTCAAACATTCGACGTTATCAAGCATCATCCGTTAAAGCTGCTTGAATACGTATCTTGAATACCCCCTATATTATGACTTTTTAACTATTATATCACCATACAAATTTGTTGATTTAACAGTGGTAGCTGCATTACACCGTAATATTTTTCGACTACATATAATGCACTGTCTAAAGGTGTACTGCAATACACACATGGTCGTTATTTCACCGGGGCAGCCACGCACCCATCTCTTCGTTTTGGGTAGACTGGTGACAGGCATAGATAGGAAAAGCTCTCTATTCTCACAAAGATCGACAACTGCCTATGGTGAAGAAATGGCAGTGCTCTACCAGAGTTATTCTAGGATAAATCAACCAATTCCACCCTCAAGCCTAAACACTTCTTGGAAGTCGAGTGCGAGTCAACGCATCCGAATAGAAGGAATTGTTGTATTAGCGCATTATGTGGTGATCACCTTATAAAAGAATGGATGTTCCTACCCGTCTAGTTATTGAAAAACTGGAAGAAACGTAATAAGAGCTATCGCATGAGAAAAGCTACGTGGTATGCTTGCAGAAATGGGCCTACAACACCATATTTTGATGGGCACATCTAATGCCTCATTTTTGAATGCTGAGTTTCCTTTCTTTTTACTAAAAGGGTTCTTAGACTTAGAACCAATAATTCGGCAAATCGGCTTCTTTTTTTTTAGCTTAGTGCAGAACTAGATATTTCGTAGCATCATGCAACTTCTTCGATTTCCAACTCATGTGAGGAAGTGAGTAGTAGCAGTACCCTTGCAACATTGCATTTGGCTTGGGGAAAGCCAGAAATTAAAAACACTTCCAATTTCGATTTGACACCTTAGCTTCTAATAAGTGATGAGATCAAACCTAATGAGTTCCCCAAGGGCTTAAAGCCTTGTTAAAGCATAGTTGGGCAGTCGTTGTGGGTGTTGGAATGCAATGTACAACAGGTATTCCTTCTGCGACAGGGTCACCGAAACTGAAGTATATTTCGAAATTCCTCTATTGTCTAGCCATGGCAAACTCTTCTTCGATGCATAAAGCCTGGTGTGTACCCCTGGTGATGACCTTGGAAAGTCTTGAACTTGGTTTTTCGCCATTTAAAGAAAAGAAAATATTGCCAAACCAGTAAAATATTGGTTTAATGGAAAGCACGTTGGAGCCTATATGGCTCTGTGCAATGATAGGCTCAAGTATTATGAGTTGGTCATAACAATTATAGACAATTGCCAAAAACTGTCGTTTTATTTTGCGATCTCAAGAAAAAGATGAATGAAGTCTAGAAACGCATTGTGCCACCAGCAGTTTGATTTTAATAGTCTGCAGCAAGAGGCGTTGAAACTAATTCTATTATCATCTTAATTCAGGAGGTAAAAATACTATCAATCACTATGACACTGAGATATTTGTAAAACTTGGAGCCCAGGCCAGGTCGAATCGCAGTCACCCTTTCCGGGGCTCACGTGTTGCGCACGGCACAACTGAAGCCCTTGCTTTGTTTTCTCTAGGCCACTTTTCTACCTAACGCCGCTATCAGCAATCACCCTTTAACAGGTGAGATCCAAGTTCTGCAAATATCTCAGAATCATAGTGGTTGATTTTCACATTATACATTACCGTGAAAAATAGTAATAAGTAGTAAATAAAAAGCTAATATTAACAATCTCAGCGAACCATTTGATCCTTTTTTTCGCCAGTATGCACTCCAACACTAAAGGTTTGAAAGGGTAAAACTCTCGGCATTGATCGACCCATAAGTGGTGCGCAGCGCCATGCATTCGATTTCGCCATTCTTCGGCAAAGGTGATCGAATGCATATTAGGCATATGCAGTTAATTTTCGGGTTGCCTAACAATGTATCAAATCAGCGCTGCCATCTTCCCAGGCAAGTATGACACTAATGTGCCGACTTCGGAAGAATGGAAACCTTGGTAAACCAGGGCTGCTGGTTAGAACCAAAGACCACGTGCGTGTTACAGATCACGCCTAGCCACCGCGCAAGTTTCCCTCAACAGTTTCCAACACTACAAATAAAAATCGAGCTGGGTGCCCAGTAAACTTATATGGTAGTCGCTGAATTTATTAGAATGAAGATTTCAAGTTCTCGGTTATTTCTCATGGATACCGACCCATTGTTATTCAAGACTAGACCCATCCTTAGCTGTGTGGACGGGTCAATGGACTGAATAGCGTGCTTTTTTACTGTAATGCTTATCCAACTGTTGAAACACATTCCAGCCCCTCTTGCGAACACCCAAGTATTCTTGGATCGGCTACGTCACGCGCGTCCTAGAGACGCATAGGTGATGAAACTCGTTGACATTACTGCCCTTTAAGAAACCCACCGCGTACCCTGCCTTGAAAACGAGTAAAAGGCAGTAAATAAGAAAGTTAACATTGTGAATTTCAACTATAGCTTCAGCTTAACTGGGTTTAATGCCGATTTGGGGTCCTCAGATCAATCCCGTTGACGAGTGATTGCTGATAGCAGTGATCGATAGAACTAGCTGAGAGACAGGTGAAACGAAGGACCCGCATGGTGTGGTGGTGAACGCGTTAGCCCCCAGAATGGGTAATAGCACGTTCGTTTCCCACCGCAGACACCTGCGGTCCGGAGTTTCGCAAATATCTCAGCATCATTGAAATTATATTTCGTAATATGCCATACCATTAACAAGAGTAGTCAGTAAATAAAACGGTTAAGATTATGCATATATATTTGTATCGTAGCAAGTAGGGACGGCAATGCTGTATAGGGCTGTATAAGGAAACAAACAATCAAAAGAAGGAATATACGGTAGTATAAAAGATTCGAAAATTTTCTATGTTGTGTAAAGGATAATCTCTGTGCTTCTCCGGTCTTTTGAGCAGCTCATTAGTTCTAATCGCCATTGGTATTCGCCTGCATTCATCTATTTAAAATTTCATGTAGTTGTACACTGATAGTTGCAGAAATTGTAGAGATTGTAGAGATTGCTGGTGATAACAAGGGCGGCAATATACAATGGAGTTTATACCCCAGCGGGATATCCCAAGCGAAGAAGTAGCCCAAAGTTTCCAATATCCAATTCCAAAGAAGATAGGATCGTCAAAACTTCACGCCATGATATGGAAGTAATAGCTGAAAGGCACTACGCTAACATTTTCGGTTCCACAATGCGTGCCCTGTACCCGAATACCCTAGCTGGAGAAAAACCACTTGGAATTCCTCCGTCGGAATCCAGTTGCGTTATAAAGCATAAAGACAGCCACAGATCTAAGACGCAATGAAATAACCACCCATTTCCTACGAGATGGTGGACACAATACAGGTGTAGTTCTTGCAACCGATATAACGTCTTACATTTAGAAAAAGCAAACCTCGGATCAGTGGAAAACCTCGCGCACGGTTCTCATATCCAGGAAGGACAACCGAAAAGATCCTTGAAACTACCGTCCATTATGCTGTTAATTGTATTCTGCAAGCAGTTTACGAAGATTATCCTTCTGCGAATATCGAATACCTTAGATTAGACGCAACCAGTTGAACAAGAACATGTGGCGCAGTGGTTGGAGGCGTCCTGCAACATACACGTGGAATCGATCTCCGCACCTATGGCCCACCAAGCCTTCCATCGTTCCTGCAATTTGGTACCAGACTTGTCTGGCAGGTTAGCAGTTCTGGCTTTATACATCGGTAGGCCACCGCGAGTCATTGTAAAGACCAGTTATGCATTCAATCACCTCCAAACGATGCTTAATGAAGTCGAATGCATGGAGCATCTCGCAGGGACTATTCAACGCCAAGAGTTTTATCCTTTATCCTTTATCATTTGAGCAAACAGAATTCCGACAAGGATTCCACTGCACGGACTAACTGAAATCGTATTACGGGTGATAGAATTCTGTCGGGAATACCATCTACTTTTTGTTATAACGTTTATCGACCATGAGAAAGCATTTGACAGCGTCGAGAAGAATGCAATCCTAGCACTGCTCGCCGAGCAACAAGTGAACCCGTGCTATACATACGAACACTAGCAGATTGTTATCGGAACTGCAGCACAAATATACAGCTTTTTCATTGGCCCTTCACCATTCCCGTAGAAAAAGGGTACAACAAGGTGGCACGACATCGCGAAAGCTGTTTACCGCCGCAGTGCAGTTGATAATGAGATCAGTCAATTGGAACGAGAAAGGCATGTGTATTGATGGAAAATTTCTATCAAATCTTTGTTTCGCAGATGGCATCGCCATGTTTTTGAGGGGTAGAGTGAAACAGAAACGATGCTCAATGAACTAAACGGAGCGGGAAAAACGATAGTAGTGCGTATAAACAGGAATAAGACCCAGATCATGAAGTACCCATGGTGCGAAAGTGAAAAAATCGAATTGGATGACTCTCCCATTATAAAAGTCTTTTTGTGTATGCACCTTGAACATTCACTGAACACGGAAAACAACATGAAATAGGATTCAGACAGAAGGAAGCAAAGAACTATGAGCCGCATTCTTGCCACTCAAAGAAGCCACCTACCAACAAACAGATTCAAAACTGCGTGCTCACGGTTTCGACTCAACAGCACTCCTAAAGCTCTGTGCAGCATAGAAGTGGGTTGATACGTCAGTCACGTCAAGAATACTGCGCACCACCCACAGAGCAGCTGAACGATGTTTACTGAAATTTAACGGATGCTGACATCGTTCAACTGGAATGCGTAGCTCAAATCTTCGAAAAATATCCCATTTTTAGGATCCAGAGTAATCATCAATAGCGAAGTACAGACGGACCGATCACGTAATAAGAAGACCAGATGACGGATGGACGAAAAGAACAGTGAAGATGACCCCAATAGAGTGCAAACGTCCTCTCAGAACACCGTCAAAACCATGTGCGGACTTGCTCCTGCCTAACGCGAGCCACCTACATTCGTAGATAGCAACGATTTCAGTATTACGGAATGGATTTCGTCGTCGACATTACCAGGTTCGAAGTAGGCCACCAACATGGGCGACAAATGAATGAGAGGGAAACGATTGGAAATCGTGTTTCGGCCAGCACAACCAGAGAAGACCTGCCATTCAAGTATCCAAGTATCAGAGTTAGTTGTAGAAATTTTTGAGTTTTCATTAGAGATTGTTGATGATGAGGACGACGTGCATCAGCAAGCTGATGTTCAGCATTTAAGAACGCCTTAGCTCCTCAATATTATGGTAAACCACTGAGGCGATTTTGTATAGGTGAAATTGTAATATGACTGTATGCTAAACCTCACCATAACTTCCATGAAGACGTGTAAAACGGTTTATTACGTGCGCCTACACAAATGTGTTTCCACATAATGTGCCTTTCGTAACATTACGTATTTGGAATGCTTTTTACCATGACCATTCAATTGTACTGTAAACGTTGCTCTGAAAACAGCTGCCTTGCATCATACAATTTTTACAATTCATCATGTACTTTCCTAAGCGCTCAACGTACTCCGATAGCTTTTGCAACGTACTTTTCACACTATTTCAAAACAACTACAGAGATTATTAGTCGAACTTCTTATAATTTGTACTGTTGCAAACATTTTTTGAAAATGATGTAATTTTCACAGCCTGTCATCCTAACATGCAGCACGTAATGTGGTAACTATTGAGACCACCTTAACCAAGATATCTGTTGCTTCGGCTGCAAAAATTTCACACCTGGTTGGTAGGTACGCCTGGAAATTAGGCGTCATAACTTCTAGATATATTCTAATAACAGCCACTGCCACGTTTTAGCTGTTTTGACCTGCGACAATTCTCTTCCAGGATGTGGCCAGTTGTGGATGTAGACATTTGTAATTTGTCCTTTTTAATCAAACCCTATTAGACTTAGGTTTCCCATCCATGCATCTGCTTTTTCTGTACATTGCTACTATAGGTGCACCACGGGTGCAACATGTATATCTGAGCGACCTGGCGAAAGATCAGACAATTAGCAGAACTACACAGATGAAAGTCACAACAAATGGCGCGAAGAAGCAAGACTGTAAGCCACCAGTTGTTAGCTTCCTTTACAAAGAGAGCATAGGCTATGATAACATTGCGTGAGTCCACGTTGAATTTTTCCTGATTGTAACACTCAATGATTTCGCGATTTGAAGAGTTTGAGAGAGTGGATGTGTCACGCGGTGTCGCCAACTAAACAATATCCCTATGGTATCTGGGAGGCTTTTCAGGTACTGTTGGCTCCAGATACTTGGGTACTTGGATGGCCACTCTTCACTGGTTGTGCGGACCCAGCATAATTTGCATTCTCCGGTATTTGTAAACCAACATAACATTCCCATGGTCGTGTAAACTATTATTCCATACGTGACTTTTTACCGCTCCACTGGAAGTTCCTCCCTAAAAGCCTTTCTTTTAAGAATTATTACTAATACTATTCAGATGCATAACCTAAGCAACTTCATTGCTGAATCCGTAATGTCGAAAGATAACCGCCAAAACTGCCCTTTAACACAAACTTTTAAATAAAATGAAGTTGTATGTTAACATAGTTAGATCACCCGTATACAAGCATCTCCTTGATGATCATTTTGCACATATTACCAGCTCCCTCATGTAGCTAAACATTCACGACTACCAAAAAACCCAGGGAAAAGTTTACGTCAGACCAACTGAAATAGAAGATGTCTTGGGGATTCTGAATAACAGAACGCAGTTTGTAGGCACTTTTATGCCAATTATATATATATATATATATATATATATATATCACCTGTACCACCTGTAGCCTCGTTGTTCGTCGAGTGACTCGAGCGGGAGCCACTAAATCTTCCATTTTTCCTTGTCGCGTGCAAAAGTAGCCCAGTAGGCTCTGTTCGCTCTAGGGACTCGTCGAGCATCATAACTTTCTTCAACGCTCTTTGTAAAGAACTCTCACCATCAGGTTGGTGCTCTTCCTGCAGTACGTTTGACATCTCGGGGAATCCAGTCACTAACGGCTCTAGTCCATCGGTTGTCATACGCATTACCTGTCCGGCCCACCTTATCTTCGACTGTTTGGCGTACGGAACGGCATCTTTGATTTTCGATCGTTGGCCAGATCGGAGCTTCGGATCCCATCCCTTGCTTGTGTGGAACGGGATACTCCTAGCATCATCCCTTCGACTGCGCATTCGATAACGCTGAGCGACCTTTCATCCTGCTTACGCAGCGACCAGGCTTCTGACGCATACGTTAGGGCAGGAAGTACTGCTGACTCGAAAAGGTGGGCATGGAGTCGGATGTTCTTTGTTCGCTTCACAACATTCTCGATGTTCTTGAAAGCTCCCTAAGCCCCTCGTTTTCTTCTGCTAAGGTCTGGAGCTAGGCCGTTCATCATATTGATTTCCCGACCTAGATAGATATAACTGGATCATTCGAAGGTATTCGTTCCGTTGAGCGTGAATGGGACATGCGAAACCAATCCGTTCTTCATGAACATCGTTTTTGTGAGATTTCGAAGACCAATCTTTCCACAGGCTTTATCAAAGTTGTCAGGCATACGTTCCGCTTGGCTAATGTTTGATGTTATAAGGACGATGTCATCAGCAAAGCGATGATGGTGTAAGTGTCGACCATCGATCTTCACTCATATATTATTCCATTCCAATGTTCGCATGACGTTTTGGAAGGTGGCGGTAAATAATTTTGACGAGATGGCATCGCCTTGCCTAGCTCCTTTTTGACGTCAATGTTAGTATCGTCGTAAAATGGTGATAGCTTCGTTGTGAAATTTTTGTAGAGCTCACGAGGAATCTTTATGTACTGAGTAGGGACTCCTTGACTATCAAGGACTTCCAAGATTGCCTCTATTTCAACGGTTCTCCCTCATATGAGGGATTTCGAGCCGGTTAGTCGCAAGGCTACGAGGCGTGTCCCCAGGTGGTGGATAAGGGGTTAATCGCGGACCAAAGGCGACCTTTGCTTCCCTGAGACGCAGGTGGATCCAGGACATAGACTCCCTGTTTCTGCTGCGCTGATTTGGCACATACTTTCTGTATTTGCAAGGCGTATTCATACATGCGTGTGTGGGTGCGTTCTTGCTTATGCGGATTGCACTCTACGAGTCAATTCGGCCAAAAGCCTGCAATCAAGTGACTGGGAAGTATGTGGGAGGCGGTTAGGAGTCGCCTCCAACCAATAAGCTCCATGTCCACTCTGGGAGAGCCTGGTAAGCTATCCGTGAGCATACCCAGCCCTGACACTCAGAGCCTAGCAAGTTATACGTGGGTATCAAAAATGCTAAACACAGTAAAAAAAGAGCGGGCCTCATTCCCTTGACCACGAAAGAGCCCTCAGTTCCGCAGCGTTGGGTAGGAGGAGTACGGAGAGGCTGCTAAAATCTCAATACCAATGCGGGCCGCCTGGATTTCAAAGAACTATGGTGACCATCTGTGCCTACAATGCACGTACACTTGCATCAGAGTCCTCGATAGAAGACTTGTTCATGCAAGCACTAAGGACGAGATACGACGTCATCGGCCTGGCCGAGACGAGAAGACGCCAGCCTTTCAACGCCGTCTATGACGCCGGAGAAGAACTGTTCCTCGGAGCATGCGACAGTAGAGGAGTCGACGGTGTCGGCCGCGATGAACATCGATTCATTGGAACAACTTACAACCCGAATCGGACGTTTACGATTAAAAAGACGTGAATCAATTCCGGATTTGACAATCTTCGTCGTTTACGCGCCGACATCGAACTATGACGAAGATGAAGTCGAAGCGTTCTATATGGACTTGGAGAAGTTCTACAGAGAAGACCACACATTCTTCAAGGTCGAGATTTCAACGCCAAGATTGGACAAAGAAGAACATCTGAAGAACGTCACATTGGGACCCACGGATTAGAATGGAACGAACAGTGCGACAGGCTGTCTGACTTTATCATAGCGACCAAGATAATCCATGGTAACTCGCGATTCCAGAAGCCCCACCCTCAGCGCTGGACGTGCGAGTCACCCAATGGAGAGTACACTAAAGAAGTGCACCACAACATAGGAAATAGAAGGTTTCGCCTAACCGATGTCACTGTTGTCCCAAAATTCTACACGGGATCAGACCGTCGTCTCATTCGTGCAAGATTCTATTTCTCGCGGAAAGGAGAAAAAGTCACCAAATTCAAATACCGAAGTCGTGGAACCACCATCTACTGGAACCTATTCAATTCACTAGCCTGCTGCTGGGAAGACACCGTTGTCGATAACATCGACGAAGAATACGATGGGCTCATTCAACAACTTCACGTTAGCGCTATGAAAGCTGAGAGTTCGAAAGTCACCAGACGTCTGTCTCCAGAACCGAGCTGATTCGCTAGCGGGGAATCGTACGAGCTTCAGGTAACCGCGAACTAACTTCTGAAAAAGCAAAGCAGGGCAAACAGGCGGTAAAAGAAAATCTTAAAGAGAGAAAAGCAGCATTAATGGTCGAAGCTGCAGAGGCTGGGAGAAGCATTCGCAAAGTCCACCGAAACCAAAAATTACATGACCAAAATGATTGCTCTCAGGCGCCCAGACGGTGCAGTTACAGTGTCCAGAAAGGCAATGGAGAAAATCATTCAGGAATACTACTCGGATCTCTTCGATAGCCACGTCCACCTTCCGTCATGTGAAATAAAGGGGGATGGATATGTTGTACCTCCGGTTCTCCCTTCCGGAATCCGACATGCCGTTTCGCCGGTGAAAAATCGAACAGCACTAGGTCCGGACAGGATAAGACCAGCACATCCGAAGAACCTTCCGCCAGTCCTCGTGAACACACTGGATCGGCTCTTCACACGTGACCTGTCTGATAGCAAGGTCCCTAGTCAGTGGAAGACCAGCAAGACCGTGTTATTGTTCAAGGATGACCTGCACAATATCGGGAACTATCACGCAATCTGCTTATTGTCTGCCGTCTACAAACTTTTCACTCGAGTCATTCTGAACAGGGTTGAAAGAACACTGGGCAAAGCACAGCCATGTGAGCAAGCAGGGTTTTGAAGAAGATTTAGTACGATGGACTACATCCACACGGTAACACGGCTCATTGAAGTATTGCGAGAGTACAAAAGATCGCTCTGTCTCACTTTCATCGATTTACAGAAGGCCATTGATTCAGTTGAGATAGAAGCAGATAGAGATATATAAATGCAATATATACATATACATATACATATATATATAATATGCTTTATTTAATTTGAGAAGCCGATCGTTGCCAATTTAGCCACATGTCCACTGATGGAGGAATTTATATCAGCATACACTATAATTCTGTATGTTCATCCATTTTCACGATTTGTGACCGCGCTTCAGTCCAGCTTTAACCAAAGAGGTCATTACATTGAACGTTATCAACTGAGGAATATCGATGGTTATTGCACATAATGAGTAGAGATATAGTAATTTAGTTCATATATATACACAACAGCCGCACCTTACCGGGTATGTAGACGGCGGCTACTACAGAACGACAATAATGTTTCGATAACGGTGAAGCGCTTCGGTTGACCTATTTACAAACAGACCCGCATGGACGGTGGAAAAAGGAGAAGCAACAACCACTCGGGCTAACCTACAGCAATAGAAAGGAACGAGAGAACCTTGAGCCAGTACAGGATCTAGCCGCAGTCAAACATAAAAGGGTGGCCCATCCACGTCCTCAGTGCACGAGTTCATTAACTTTACTTGCCACCTCAAGCCCTGCACGCTGCCGTTTGAGCGTAGTCGTGGGCAGCGGAAAGCCCAATCGGGTTGGTGTGGTCCCTAGTTGGATTTCCTAGCAAGATACAACTCGATCAGTAATATTAGAGCCCACATAGCTAAGAGTCAACTCAGTCCCAACAACATGTCTAGAAGACACTTGACCACCTAGTGACACTATCGCAAATTCCGATGGGGTATACATTTATTTAACAAGCACTTAAAAAAACACAACCATGTACATGAGATCCTTGGAGGATTAAGAGCTACATGGCGACGCCTTAACCTTTTCGCTTTAGAGCCCGAGATTTATGACTTCTTAGTTTTCGGCTTGGCAGCTTTGTTGACGGGCTTCTTAGCAGTTTTAGCTTTGGTAACTTTAGTCTTCTTTGGGCTCTTGGCCTTTTTTTCCGTTTCAGGCTTCCTCGTCGCAGCTTTGGAAGACTTGTGCTTTTTGGCTGCTGGTTTCTTGCTAACATGCTGAAAACCAAGTCTCTGCTACTATACGACCCGAAGAATGCGGAACAAAATACGCAGAACCTCCAGCACTTATTTTTTTGACTGCGGGCGCAGACTTCTCACCAAGCCTAAAGCTTCTAGATACCGTGTTTCCTTTAATCTGTTTCAGTTCACCTTTTACGACAGCCTTCTTAGGCGCAATGCGGAGCTGAGAATTGATCCACAACAGACCACATTCCAAAGAGTCAAAACGAAATCACTTGCCAATGTTGGTAGTAAATTCACCTTAGTAACATTGTCACCGAGCTTGTAGTGCGACAACACGAGCCTCAGGATAGCAGCCTTCGATGATCCAGATTTCTCCTTCACCTCGGACAACGCTTTGAGAATCATGGAGTAGTAGGTTGGATGAGACGGAGCCTTCTTGGCTGCTTTTGGCTTGAAAGCCTTCGCAATCTTGGGTGAGGAGCCAGCAGCAGCTGCGGACATTGCGATCAGAGGAGTGCCGAATAACGAGCTGGCGGTCGCCTGTCGCCGCGGCTTATCTACCACACGGGGTCCCCCCTCCGCACACCCAGAAGCGTTGACTCTGCCTCGGATCTCAGTTGCCTGACTTTGTGTAGAACGGCGCCTAGAAAAGGCTCTGTAAAGGCGGATTTAATTCATATGATGTCATGAAACTTGTGCTGCGAATAGAGAACGTATTTACCTGACAGGATACGAAGTTTTCACTGCTGCGTTGCTCTCTAAGAAGAGTTTATACCGGTTTAAATACAACGTGGCTGAGTTGCGGCGTCAAGAAATGCCAGTTTTGTGGAAAAAAATCGCGTTATTTGGTGGTTAAACAACAAAACAACCACAAACTACTTAAGCAAAAGCACTTTGTCATAAAATCTTAATAAAAATTACTTTCTGCCTCGATACTACAGAAAGATGTTTCAATGCAAATAGTTGACACAGAGTACACGACCAGAAACATCGTCGTTGTGAAAATTTCGTTATCAGGTGTGAATTTGTAGTGTTTTTCGTCTGAGGCTGTTTCTCAGGTATTGTACTATAAGATTAGAGCCTTTCGTGAGCATGAAATTATCACTGGACTAGAATTTTTCAGTGTTTGAATTTGTTCGCAATAGGATGCACATGCCACTGGTGTTCGCTGAATACATTGTGGGCACAGAACTACACTTTTCCGGATTACTTTTATGGAAATCTTTTCTGGTTGAATTTATAATGAAATCTGCTTTCCGAGAAAGAGTAAAAGACGTTATAGCAGTAAGTGAGTTTTGAAGTCGAAATGAATTATCGACGATTAGAAAGCGAGTGTCGTTGATTCTGAAAAGCTCCAAGCATTGGGACTACTACAAAATAAATTATTTTCTAGAAATTTTTATGAAACTATCGCTTGTATTATATCGGAGCGTTGTTAGACTTAAACCAACGAATATTTGATACTACAGTAATGTTCGTATTTACCTCAATGATCTTTCGTTTAACCTTAGAAGGTGCTGCAGAACTAGGTTATACCAATGCTCTTGATACAACCTCATTTTTATTTTATTTACGAACGGTCTGTGCTTTATGCTTTCTTCGATTTCTATTAGGAGCACTGCTTATTATGAGGTCGTTGGGAACGTCTTTTGCAGTACTTTGCGAATCGAATATTTCACAGACTTTATAAGGCGCTCATAAATGCCCCTTGCCATGAAGCATAAGGTGTTATGATTCTACACGTAATTCCTCTCGTTACCAATGCCTTAGTATCATTGGTGTTTGAAACATTAACGGTTCGTAAAATTTGTTCCGTCAGAGTAAAGTTTGGTGCGTTTTCTTAGGTAGGTCGCCCATTGTTGGTATTTATAAATTGTTCATTTTTTGACATGCGATGCATCGCCTTATAGATTTTTTCGACAGATGTCACAATGTTGGGACCCAGAATCGTTTTGTTGCGTTTGCCATTGTTTGACATGTACTGCAATGATATGGCAGACGTGCATCGTTTACAAGTTACTTCGGCTAATCTCGTTTTTGTATGTTGAATATTAGCTGTCGTTCTTGTATCGGATTGCTTAATTTATTTAGGCGTCCTTTGCAAAGGAAGATCCCACATTGATCTCTAACGGTATTAAGGGGATGAAGTAATCTTTTCGGCGTATCGCAATAAGTGTTTCGTTGATGGTTGCGCGCAATCACTCTCAGTTCCGTATCGTCTCATATTGCCGTAATATGCGACTCTAAGGTAGTAAACCCGATCTCTGAAATAGTGCGGCAAATGAGAATGATCTCATAACTAAAGTCTCATCTGTTATTTTGTTGAGGAATCTGAGGAACTATGCTACTGTTTTTTGTGCCACTATGAGACGATTGTGTTGTAACCAATCCAATAATTCTAGCTCTCGTTTGTCATAAGTGGTCATTACCTTGGGATTGCAGGCTGCTTCCATTTTGGGTGGTATCCTAAAGAGATTGATTTTTTTTTGGAAGTTTGTTTGCCTAATGAAATCAGGTGCAATAATGGCTACTTAACTGGCACATATCTAGTCCCTTCGTTGCGCATTCAGCCGGATTTTGATCTGTGGGTACGTGAACAAACTGGATGAGATTTTTCAACATTTTTTTCATTAGTAGTATCTTTTCGAAGCAGTTTTTCACTAGCACTCCCATTGATCTTTCTAATTTTGGCGATTGTATCCACCTGACGGCGATTTTGGAGTCAGAATAGTGTCAGGAATAGTGTCTACACGATAGGAATTTGGTTTTTTAGGGCTGTGTATTGAGTAAGCCAGACGGACTGCCACAGTTACAGCATTTAACTTAGGTTCTGTAATAGTGGCGGCATAGTTACTTGATCGTGATTTAGACTTTCCTATAAGGCGATATGAACGTTTTATTTGATACCAAGTAAGCGAAAATAGCCGTGCATTCTCTGCTGACGTCTGTGAGGAACAGTTTGGTATCGACTTCGAGTTGGGTAATACCTCGTGGATTATCGATTCCAAATCCGCTGAGATGTTCGACTATGTTCTCCTATTCGTCAACATGTGTTTCTGAGGGCTGCGTGCCCCATGTATAAACGACATTCTAAAGGGTTTGAAGAAATTGATTTCCCTGTACTGTGAATGGCGTGAGCAATCGTAAGGGATCGCAGGTTGCCGCTACTTGGTCAGCCACTGAACGCTTGGTTAGTGTTGGTTTATATGGATATTTGCATGAGAGAAGTAATTTATCGCCTTCGGAATCCCTTGCTATTCCCAGAACCTTTTGTTGAGTGCTTGATTCCGATTTTGAGGTCATCTGTCAAATCAACTGTTGCCTGGTAGACGTAAATACCCGTAAGTTCATGCCCAAATCCCTCTTCTAAGGACAGGACATCCTTCTAAGGACAAACTTGCGATAATAGCGCTATCGACCCGTTTATTGTTCCGTAGCTCTCAGGCCAGCGTTGTATTGGGAACTTGGGCTTCTAAGTAATGTTTAATTATTCCTGCTAGCAGGAATCGTGAATAATTGAGATAAAAGGTTAAGTGTGTGAATCTGTAGGTAACCATGTTGTTTGGTTCGCAACACTGTGAGTTGTCTCGAATCCATTTGAACCGCATACCAGCTCTATTTTGTTCGCGCAATCGTATTTGCAAGAACGCTTTTTCAAAGTCCCAAATTACTGCAAAATATTCTCCATTTGGAAACGAAGCGGAATATCATATATTCCGGAAAGAAAGACTGGCCCTTGGTGGAGGACATCATTTAGTGATGGTGGTAGTACTGGATGCGCGGGTGCATCATAAACGATTCGTGATTTTGTGGTTTCCTCATGTGGAATGATTACAGCATGGTGCGGAGTATTATGAAAAATTTTACCTTGCTGGCACATTGATTCATCGACTTCCTTAGTAATATTCTCATTTAGGTGTTGTGTTATGGCTTCACTATATTTCAGAAGCACAGGAGGGTTTTTTGTAAGGGTGGCGGTTGTTGCCTGTACTCATCGCATTGCCATATCTTTGTTCTGAGTAGTGTGGTTGAATTGTCTTCCCATGGAAATCGCACGTAATAACGATCTTCACGTCTCTGGTCCTCTTCAGTGAGCAAGCGCGGGGTCGGTATTATAGCATTTATTAGCATACAATGGCTGAGGCCTCGGCGGTTTCACCCTCTTCACGTCCCTCTAATTTTTTTTCAAACTGTTTCAAAATTTCACCATTTGCTGTTCTTGTTCTTTTTCTTTCGGTCCGGCAAATTCGTTAACCCCTGGTGACTCGAATATGCAAAAATCTTCCTATTATTGCTATTCACACGGATGATCAATGGAGTTCCCTGGTAGAGGGAGCTTATGCCGGTTAGACGCGAAGCAACGTAGCTCGTCCTCAAATGGTGGATAGGGGGTCAATCGCGGACCGAAAGCGACTTTTGCTTCTGTGAGACGCAGATGGATTCAGGAGATGGACTTCTTGTTTCTGCTGCGCCGATTTGGCACAAATCTTTTGTATTTAACGAATGCATGCGTGCATGCCTTCTCACTTATGCGGATTGTATTCGAGTCAATCCGGCGAAAGGTGAGCAATCAAGTAACAGTAGCAATCAAGAAAAGCTATTATTTGGAGGTTTCAACGCTGGATTGGAAAGGGCGAGAAGGGTGACTGTCCGAGTTTATCATGACGACCAAAACCGTTCAAGGTAACTCGCAATTCCAGAAGCCACACTCTTAACGATGGACATAGAAGTCTCCTAATGGAGAGTACCGTAACGAAATAGACCACATCGTAGTAAATAGAAAGTTTCGCCTAACCGATGTCGCTGTCGTCGCAAAATTCTACACGGGATCGGACCAACGCCACTTTGATGCAGGATTTTATTTCTCGCAAGACGGAGGAAAAGCCAATAAATTCAAAAAAAAATCAAGCAGCAAAACAACTATAAACTGAAATGTATTCAGTTTATTTGTCAACTGTTGGGAAGATAACGTTCTTAACAACATCGACGAGGAATAAGATTGGCTCATTCAACATCTTCACGTTAGAGCTATGAAAGCTGAGAGTTCTAAAGTCACCAAGAGACGTCTGTCTCCAGAAACACTAGAGCTTATACGCCAGCGTGGAATCGCACGAGCTGCAGGCAACCGCTAACTAACGTCCGAAATTGCAGAACAATGTAGACAGGCGATAAAAGAAGACTGTTAAGAGAGAAGAGCAGCATTAATAGTCGAAGCTGAAGAGGCTGGGGTAAGCATTCGCAAAGCCAGGCGAAGCTTCGCCAATTACAAGGCCAAGATGATTGCACTCCGACGCCCAGACGGAACAGTTACAGCGTCCAGAAAGGCAAATGGAGAAAATCATTCACGAATACTACTTAGATCTTTTCGATAGCCACGTCCACCTTCCATCGTATGAAATAAAGGAGGATGGATACGTTGTATTACCGGTTCTCACTTCCGAAATCTAACATGCCATTTCGTCGGTGAAAAATCGAACAGCTCAATGTCCGGACAAGACAAT